CCCCAATCAATGGCACTGCCACCTACGACCTTAATTTATGGACGGTGTCATGGTTGTTATGAAGAAGGAGGAACGCGGACCCGGACGGCGTGGACGTGTGCCGTGCGTCGGGCTCTTGGAGCTCACCCTCGCCTTGGGCCTTTTTCCCTCCGGCGATGCTCCACCTCTCCACCAACCCCGTCTCGGGCTCTTGGCCTTGTCCTGGTCCGCGCTGACCGCCATGCATGCCGGCCTCGAGGTGCTCTCCTCCGGGGACAGCCCTTACTGACTTGACGGCCACCGATGGAGTCGTTCCCCGCCAGGCTCACCGTGCATACGACCTCACGGCCGGCGCGCGCTCTACCTCTCTCCGGCTGGCGTGTGAAGAGGTGACCGTGTGGGGTCGTCGAACTTGGAGGAAATTAAAGGTGGGTGCTTTGCGCGGAAGGATTCGATGGCGGCCGTGTATGTGTTGGTCGACTGGGTGCGTGGTCGGTGAGAGCGACGGCGCAGATGGCAGCTTGGGGCACACGGGGAAGAGGATTCTTTGGCCAGCTGCTTGTTGGGTCAAATCGCCGTTTTGGCACCGGTCGCTTGTTGGGTCAAATGCATGTAGGAGCAGGTCGCCACAGGCGCGCGCGTCGACCGGTCCTCGCCGAGAACGGAAAAGGTAGGCCTTCTCCTCTTGGAGTTGGAGCTCGCCTACTTAGGTTTGGCGGCTCAAAGATGCCACCTTGATCTGGCCGCTTCCTCGGCGCTGGCCGCCGGAGCATGGCCGTCGTCCACGGCACGGCGTGGACTAGCATTCGGCCGAACTCACTGTGCACGCAGACGCGGCGCACGTACGAGAGACGAGAGACGAGAGAGCCGTCCATGTCCATCATCAGTCCATGCATGCCTTGATTGGGGCCGGCCGGGAAGAGAAGATGTGGGAACTGTTGGACGAAATTAAAGATGAAAGACGTGGGCTCTACTTATCGATCGGATGACAAGGTGTTAGACTATGTATAGCTTCTTAACTTATGTACGTATTGTAACACATCCATTATATATAATGAGATAAGCCACTCCTACAGGGTTGTGCTGGTCCCCCAAAACTTATTGTCTTACATGGTATCACGCTAGGTTACGATCACTTCCGCTTTTAAACCCTAATACCCGCACCGCCGCCGCAGCCGCCGCCGCCTTCACCGCCGCCATGTCGAGCGCCGCCACCACCGGTTCCACTGCTGCGGGGTTCCTCCCGGCCTCTCTTGCGGCTCTGCTCAACCTCCCGCTCGATGCCGTCGCCGTTCCGGCTCCGATCGGGACCAGGAGCATCGGCTCCGTCTACTCCACGCCGCCGGCGCCCTCGCTTGGGCGCGACCTCGTGGTCCACACCGCGGCGCCGCCGTCCGCTGCGGACTCCGCGGGCGTCGTCCCGCCGCTCCTGCCGCAAGCGGATCACACCGCCCCGCTGGCGGGGTTGGCGGCGTCCGCCCCGGCCGCGGGCCTTGCGGCGTCCGACCCGGCCGCGAGCTTTGCGGCGTCCGCCCTGGCTGCGGTCCCGCCTCCTCCCGCATCGGCTTCGGTGCCTCCGGCTGCCTCCATGGTGTTTGCACCCCAGGCAGCCCCCTCGATGGGATCGTCTTCGCCGCCGCCGTTTCACTTCGGTCATCTCATCACCATCAAGCTCTCCGCCGACAACTACATCTTCTGGCGTGCGCAGGTTCTCCCGCTCTTGGGGAGTCACTACCTGCTAGGCTACGTCGACGGATCGCTTCCCTGCCCACCCGCACTGGTAGACAGCGTGCACGGTCCGGTCTACAATCCGGCCCATCGCGTCTGGACGGGGCAGGACCAGGCGAACCTCTCCTCCATCCAGGGGTCGCTCTCGCCGGCAGTTGCCGGACTTGTTGTCTTCGTGAAGACGTCTCATGAGGCCTGGACCATCCTTGAGCGAACCTTTGCAGCGCAGTCCCAGGCTCGTGTCTCTGCACTCCGTCGTCAGCTTGGAGAGTGTCAGAAGCTTGACTCCACTGCCACTGAGTTCTACAACAAGGTCAAGGGCCTCGCCGACACATTGGCCTCCATTGGACAGCCCCTCACCGACTCCGAGTTCAACTCGTTTATTGTCAATGGTCTTGATGAGGAGTATGATGCCTTAGTCGAGATCATCAACGAGCGGGGCAACTCGACACCCATGCTGGCACACGAGGTTTTCTCTCGGCTCCTTCTCACTGAGCAACGGGTCGAGACACGCCGCTCCAGGGGCACTGGCTCCCTCTCGGCCAACGCCGCCATCAAGGGTGGCCGCTCTTCTTCATCACCCCGGTCTCCCTTGGGGCTGCCACCGTCGCCCGCCTCGGCCCCCCCACCTACTGCGACCTTACCGGGGGCTGGCGGTCCACGTGTGTGCCAGCTTTGTGGCCGCGATGGGCACTGGGCCTCCAAGTGTCATAAGCGCTTCCAGCGAAGCTTCCTTGGTCTTGGCAATGACGGCAAAGATACACGCAACAATGCCCGTCAGGTCGCCATGGCTGATCGTCCCGCGCCGCAGAAGCAACAGGGACACACTCAGTCCTACTCCATCGATCCACACTGGTACATGGACTCTGGGGCGACAGAGCATCTGACTAGCGAGATGGGGAAGCTTCACACTCGTGAACCCTATCATGGCTCCGACAAGATCCACACCACCAATGGAGCAGGTATGCACATCTCTCATATTGATCAAGCATCTCTTCTCACTAGACATGCCAATAGGAGTCTTCAGCTTCGCAATGTTCTTAGAGTTCCATCTGTGACCCGTAATCTTCTTTGAGTTCCTAAACTCACACGTGATAATAATGTGCTTTGTGAATTTCACCCTTTTGATCTTTTTATTAAGGATCGGGGCACGAGGGACATTCTTCTTAGTGGGCGGTTGTGCCAGGGCCTCTACCGTCTGGAGCATCCTGGCGTCGCCCGTGTTTTCAGTGGAGTTCGGGTCTCTCCGTCACAGTGGCATGCTCGTCTTGGTCACCCGGCCACACCTATTGTCCGTCATATTTTGCGTCGTCATGAGCTTCCTAGTTTGTCTAGTAATAAAGATGTAGCAGTGTGTGATGCTTGTCAGCAGGGGAAGAGTCATCAACTTCCTTTTTCGGAGTCCAGTCGTGAGGTGAAACATCCTTTAGAACTTGTGTTTTCAGATGTATGGGGTCCTGCTCAGACTTCTGTCAGTGGTCATAATTACTATATCAGTTTTGTTGATGCTTATAGTCGCTTTACCTGGCTTTACCTTATTAAACGCAAATCTGATGTGTTTGATATTTTTGTTCAGTTTCAAAAACATGTTGAGCGTCTTCTCAAGCACAAAATTGTTCATGTCCAGTCGGACTGGGGGGGCGAGTATCGCAACCTCAACTCCTTCTTTCAGTCGCTTGGGATAGCTCATCGTTTAGCATGTCCACATACACATCAGCAGAATGGTTCAGTCGAACGTAAGCATCGTCATATTGTTGAAGCTGGTCTTACTCTTTTGGCCCATGCATCTGTTCCGTTTCGGTTTTGGAGTGATGCTTTCACCACTGCATGCTTTCTCATCAACCGTACTCCCACTCGTGTTTTAAACATGAAGACTCCTATTGAGGTTCTCCTTAATGAACAACCTAATTATACCTTTTTCAAGGTATTTGGGTGTGCTTGCTGGCCGCATCTTCGTCCATATAATAAGCGCAAGCTTGAGTTTCGTTCTAAGAAGTGTGTTTTTCTTGGCTATAGCTCTCTTCATAAAGGTTACAAATGTCTTCATGTTCTCACTAATCGTGTCTATATATCTCGGGACGTCGTGTTTGATGAGCATGTTTTTCCCTTTGCCAAACTTCCTGTGTCCACTGTCGGACCACCACACCCATGTCGTCTACCGACAAGATAACAGCTGTTGATGGTGAGCTTTTGTCTTCTGCGGATGCCACAGAGTACAGGAGCATTGTTGGTGGACTTCAGTACTTAACGATCACGAGACCAGATATCTCTTATGCTGTTAACAGGGTTTGTCAGTATCTTCAGGCTCCTAGAGATACTCATTGGGCTGCTGTTAAATGCATTCTTCGTTATGTTCAGTTCACCCTGACATTTGGTATGCATATTCGGCCGACTTCCTCTCGGGTCCTTTCGGCCTTCTCTGATGCAGATTGGGCTGGTAGCCCAGATGACAGACGATCCACGGGGGGTTATGCAGTATTCTTTGGCCCTAATTTGATCGCCTGGAGTGCTCGGAAACAGGCTACTGTGTCACGTAGCAGTACTGAAGCTGAGTACAAGGCTGTGGCTAATGCTACTGCAGAGATTATTTGGGTGCAGTCTTTGCTTCAGGAGTTGGGTTTGTCTCAACCACAGCCTCCTATTCTTTGGTGTGATAACATCGGTGCTACATACCTTTCTGCAAATCCAGTATTTCATGCCCGAACGAAACACATTGAAGTTGACTATCACTTTGTACGGGAACGTGTATCACAGAAGCAACTCCAGATCAAGTTTATCTCATCTAAGGATCAACTTGCAGACATCTTCACTAAGCCTTTACCTCTACCACAGTTTGAGGCTTGTAGGCGCAATCTTACCCTTCTCAGTTCTTTAGAAAGTGGCTAAGATTGAGGGAGGGTGTTAGACTATGTATAGCTTCTGTACTTATGTACGTATTGTAACACATCCATTATATATAATGAGATAAGCCACCCCTAGAGGGTTGTGCTGGTCCCCCCAAAACTTATTATCTTACACAAGGAATGCAGGATGGCCGTCGCCGGAATTGTTTTCTGCAAAGAGAAAAGTCTCGGGGGGTTTGTTGGTCCGAGGGATGGCGAGGGAGGTCGTCGGCGAAGAGCTGCAGTACGAGGGAAGGACCTCGTCGGCGGACGGCATTCATGGTCGGGCGGGTGCATGCAGCGGCCGGCCTAAAGAGATGTAGGTGATGTTGATCATAGTGCTGCTTGCTGAGCGCCGGCGTCGCGAGGCCATATATAGCTACGTACGGCGGGGAAGAAGGACGTGCAAGCATGGCGACGGCGGCGGCGACGGTTCCTTTGTTGGGTGGACTTGTTGTCTGCAAGCAATATAATGAAAAAAGTGGGCTTTTTGCAGGGCTCCGGCTGACTGAGGAAGGGAAGGAGGTCGGGGATGGCATGCCGTCGGCCGGCGACGTTCGTATGATTCCCGGCAGTGCCGGCGGCGAGCGAGTCGATGGCGATCGAAATTGATTGGATGCATGGGATCGAGCTGGACGACGAAGAAGAAGAGGACTGGGAGAGAGAGAGACGGACGGGACGCACTTGAGTCGTGGGTCCCACTCGTGCGTCGAGGAAGGAATTGGTTGGTTGGTTGGTTGGTCTAGTAGACGCTAATTAATCGATAGCGTTTTGGTTTACAAATGGATGGATGGATGGCACGTTGGTTTCCTGTTGTTGTCATCAAAATCAAAAGAAAAGAAAAAGAAACGAGTTGGCCACGCGCGCGCGGCGCGACACACGAAAGACAGCAACAAGAGGATGTAGCGAGTGGATTACGCGGAGAACGGGAAGGAAACGTGTGCGCCCGCCAGAGCCAAACCATCAGCCACGTCATCGATCGGCTTCCTGCCGGCCTTGCAGACGGACAAGTGTCCATGCACAGCCTCCGCTTCACACCGGCTGCCGGGTCGGTGACTGTTGCTGGGCTGAAGAGATTAGTAAGTCGCAAATTATATCATTGATCTGCCGTAATAAAAAAAAGAGTCAAATTAAGAGGGCCGAATTGATCTTCCGTCATTGATTAGCGGCAAATCAGGGCAATACCAAATTCCCTTCATCAATACAGAAACAAACTTAACGTGAGCAGTTGGAGATCCCATTGTTACGGATAGAGCATGGCTTCGTCTTGTGATCCTTCCACAATGATCATCATCCGCCGCCGCCGCCAGGTGGTGTCGCCGGAAGGTGAGTCGACGCGCCGTGATGTATTATTTGCGTATGTTCGTTGTTTTCTCCACTCGTAGTATTCACCTCGCGTCGTGCAAACGCGCAGACTTGTACGCCCGCCAGATGTTCGACCGAACGCTTCTGTGGAGAAAGAGCAAAACCCAGTGGACGTCGAGCGGCCCGGACGGCCTCAGCGCCCTCCCGGACGACGCCATCCGCCACGTGATCGGCTTCCTGCCGGCGCGAGACGCAGTGCAGACGAGCGCGCTCGCCCGGGGCTGGCGCAGCCATTGGAGGTCCATGCACAGCCTCCGCTTTACACCAGTTGCCGGGTCGGTGACCGTCGCTGGGCTGAAGAGGTTAGTAGGCCCCCTGTTGCTAGATCTCCGTACACCTCTCGATGAATGTGTCATCGATGTCAAAGGATTCTGGCAGCTCCACGGCGAACTCAACAGCCTGATTCGGCATGGCGTGTCCGAGTGCCGAGTTCGAGCTCTCACAGTCAGTCTGGTAGACACGCACAGAGCAATATATGGGCAGCCTCTCGTTTCCAGGCACTTGGCGAGATTGGAGCTTCGCCATGTAACAGTGCCAGCAGAATGCACGGTTCTTGATTTTTCAAGTTGCATGGAGCTGGAGGATCTTGTGATTTCTTGCTCTCAGATCTATGCTAACAAGCTCTCGTCCCCATCCTTGAAGCGCCTCAAGATTGAGGAATGCTGCTTATTTCCAAGGGGCTCCGTAACTTGTATTTCTGCCCCGAATATTGTTTCACTGGAACTGGATAATATTCGTATTACAACTCCTTGGCTTGAGCGTATGCCGTTACTGGAAACTGCATGTGTCAGGCTTGGCCACAGCTGGCCTTTGCATTGTCAATGCGGTGTTGCCTGGCGCTCTTGTGGTGTATGTACAGAACTCCACTTAATGGAGCTAGCAAGCTTCTCGAGTGCTACGCATCTGGAATTAACAGCACCCTATGTGAAGGTACACACAACACTTCAAGTCTCACTTTCCCTTCATTAATTATTTCTCTTTGCTAGGTCATCCATGCCCCTGTAAATAGACAACAACTTGGATCATTTAATTTGGAAGATACGCACCAGCAAATCCACCAATGTTCTAATTTTTTAGCCTAGCAGATCTAGAAGGCCCATATTTTTCTTAACGGAACCACATAACATCACTGAGTAGTGCCCATCTCTATGGCGACCAGTATGTATACGTACCTAGCAAATCCACTATCTATGTTCTTGTTTTTACGAGAAATACTATCTAGTAATCCATCTGTATATTAATATGACATCTTTTTTATCACTAAAGTACTGATCTAAAAGATCTTACATTAGTTTACAGAGGGAGTATTTCATTTTGATAAACCTAATATGAACAATAAATTCACCGACCGATGCTGCAATTAATGGAGAACCAATGTTAGCTTGGCATTATATATATATTCCTTTTTTTTAAACTCCTACTAGAACTCACCTTGCATTATTTCTTATCATTTGATAATTTTCATTAACTGAATTTAATCTGTACTTGATACAGTTTACTGTTTTGAGATGCCCAACATTTAGCAAGTTAAAGAGTCTGTCGCTAAATGAGTGGTGTGTGGCAGACGACTTATCTGCATTAATTTGCATTCTTGAGCACTCTCCACTTCTAGAGAATCTCACTCTTCAACTAAATGAGGTAAATAACTGCTGAGTAGATTTTTCGTGCACTTAAAAGTCTTCTGTCGGTCTGATTGATACATTTTTTGTTGACGGCAGGGATCGCAAGAAAGTTACAAAGCAGTGGAGCAACTGCCCAAAATATCCGGATGCCTTAAAGTAGTTGAAATCAAATGTATGATGGTTGATAACAGGGTTTACAAAATTTTGAAGATATTCAATCCATTTGAAATACAAATTAACATCGCGAAAACTAGCAGACCAACATACCGTAAGTGAACTAGCAGTACTCTTCATCCTTCTCTATTTATGCAAGAACACATTTTTTGTATTGAATGTATTCAGTGAATAAACACTCATCAATGAACTAGAGATACCCGGCCTTCATTTTGATGGCAAACGTTATACGGCATATGTGTATCAGACTGACTGTAAGAAATACCCTCCCTTCAGTCAGAGTATAACTGCATATGTTGAGTATTTCAAAATAGCTTATGGCCCTATGTTATTAGGCACTCCGCGGCTATAATATCGGTGTTACCACCAAATTTATTTATACTTATGGATATATATTTTCTGAATTTTTATTCGTTTTCACATGTAAATTTTGTTAAATGTGTCCCATTTACAGTTCTAAATTACAATTACCCTTTTATGCATTTGTTTTATTGAATTATACTTGGCTTCTCTACAACATGTAAGTCCAATGGTTTTTTGTGTCTAATTTTGTGGTGCATTTGTTAGGGTTCACTTCTATTTCCCCCTTTTTTATATGCTCAGGCAATTTCCAGTCCCATTAATATTTGACAATCAATTCTTATATATCATGGCTATCAAGATCGTTGCCAATTAGTGTCTATTTCGATCTAGCCTCCTATGCTAGTCAATTGTGTATGCTCCTGTGTTGAGTAACTTGCGCATAACACCCAGTAGAATGTCGCTTGTATCAGTTGACTCTAACATCTAGGTTTTGCAATAATATGAATATAAAACGCCATGGTGGACTTAGCGCATTAGTACATAATCGGACTTTGGAGGCGGTTTTGGTACATATATAGGCCGATGGCGGTTCCACGCTTTGCCTCAAAGCCTATGTCACTAATATTCTCTACGCCCGAAACATTTATCAGAACCGCTTGCATTGCTCGGAGCACCGTAGGCGGTTTATTATGATTAACCACGTCTAATGCTCAGACAGTTTCCGTTAAGAACCGACTGCAATGTTATCTTCAAGGTTGTTGATAGTTCCTTTCATTTGGTACCTAGCCCTACGGAAATTCACATAAAACAACATATTGTTCAACACTTAAGCATACACACCTAGTTCAACAGTAAGATGCCACTTAAACATCACAAACAAAAGACAAAGTTAAACACGAAGTCGTAGACATCACAAGTATCATACAATACAAAAATGGCTCTTGCAGCACCACTGCCTCCAGGATCTTCAACACCTCCTCCAGTAGTGGAATCACCACCCTCATCATTAGAAGGAGTAGGCAAGAAAACAGTCTTCATTATGTCGTACAATTCTGGAACACTTGGCCTCACCTTTGAAATTTTGGTTGCCATCATTAGTGTTGACCCCTCAACGAAGATGCATTGTTTTCAATTAGCGCCATGAAAAAAGGAAACAAATAATGAAGTTTTGAATTTCACAAGAACAACACCCTTAACATAATGATCAGCAACCTTGAAGTCCCGATGACCTTAAAAGTCATGGAGAGCATAGGCTACAAAGAAGGCAGGTGAAAAAGGTAGCTCTAGACAATGAATATGGCAACATTCTCAATAACACCATATTCCACATCCAACCGAAGCTTTGTGGCATAAGCTATATTAACAACCTCAGGAGGACGATTAGGGAACTAAAAAGGCAAATAAATACCAGTTTAAAGAAAGTTGCACATGAATAGAAATAGCACACGCAGTAGACAAGCAACTTAAAGGTCCTAATATATCAATGCCAAGGAATTAAAGTAAGATTAGAACATTATAAAGGAATTTGTTAAAATTTACTTCACATCCTTTATTCTGATGGTGCTTGACAATGCTTCTAGATGGTCCATCATCAATCCGCCGTCTAGGCCATTTTCCTAATTGACATGTGCAAAACAGATTATCGTGAAAACACAGGAATCTTCAGAATTGGGTGTTTGATTCATAGGAATAGGAAAAATGTCGAAATCTTAAAATACACGGTTAAATTGAGGTTAAATCATGTGTAAAAATAGGATGGAGTTGAATTTATGCTTCTTATGGCTTTTGTCCGATTCTTTGTGCATGGGAATTACTCGTATAAAGAATGCTGGAGTATCCGCCTCCCTGGGCGCTTCAAGGGTGAAGTGGCCCTCCGAGTCGTCCGTTTTGGCTGGCTTGTCGAGGGCCTCTCGTGGGCTCTCCGCACCGTCTAATCTACCCGGACGGCGTGCGCCAGGGCGACGCACAAACAAAAAATTATTCTGAAGGTCTACAGGAAGATAAAAAATAAGGGATCCTAGCGAAGGAGTTTCAAGCACGGATTACACTTCTAAAGAGCACTATTTGGCTTTGCCCCTTCCTGCCAAAGATTTGAGATAACTAAAGCGACTCACAGTCAAAACTGGCTAGGGGTCCATGACGTATGGACTGCGGGGCGTGCCTGGTGCCATCGTCAGTGGGCAGTGTCGGGCACGCCCGCGAGCAAGGTCGCGCGTGTTGCCCCGCATCTAATGGGCAGGCCGGGATCGCCTGCCGGCCTTCTCGCCTCGCGCCGGGCTAGTCTGGCCTAGACAAGAGGGTACGCTCCGCGCTCGTGCGCCGTCTCGCTCGTGGGTCTGGATTGTCAGCATCATTCTCCCAAGATTGAAATCTTGCACACATGCCCACACTCAACATGATATCTGGTCTAGATGCACAGAGATAAAGCAAAGACTCAATCATAGAACGATGTACCTTTTGATCTGTTGCTTTACCATTAGTATCAAGGTCAAAGTTGGTATGTGGTTGGCATGGGTCTCTTTACCCCTTTGACATCATCCATCTTGTGTGTATTGGGTATATTTGGCTTGGTTGATGAATATTCCTCTTTCAAGTTGCATGACTTCGAGTCTAAGAAAGAACTTCAATTCTCCCTTCATATACATGTCAAACTCATCAGTCATTAGCTTAGCAAACTCATGATTGAAAGCTTCGTTAGCCGAGCCAAAAATAATATCATCGACACATAATTGACATGTGAACATATCCCCTCTAACCCTTTTAGTAAAAAGAGTGGGATCAATTAGCCCAATTTCAAACACACGATTTTCTAACAACTCAGTAAGGTGCTCATAGCACACATGTGGGGCTTGTTTAAGGCCATAGAGCGCCTTATCGAGTTTATAGACGTGATTGGGGAACTTGGGATCCTTGAACCCCAGGGGTTGTTTTACATACACCAATTCATTAAAGGGATTATTAAAAAATGCTCTCTTCACATCCATTTAATGCAACTTGAAATTGTGATCCATATGCAAGCAACATGCGAATAGATTTAAGGAGAGCAATGAGAGCTGAAATTTCACCGACACCCTCGACTTGGGAGAAACCTTGAGCTACCAATCTTACCTTGTTACGAATCACTTGCCCATGTGCATCTTGCTTATTCTTGAAGATCCATTTGGTACCTATGACATTATGATGCTCTTTTGGCCTTTCCACCAACTAGATGACCCGTTGCGCCAATTGGCGCAGAGACCAACTACAACCCAAAAGTTAAGTGAACTATTTAAAGATGTCTTTCCTCAACTGTCTGTAAATGATTATGTTCATATTGTGTTTATATTTGCCTTGACACTGATCGTTGACCATAGATTTGTTTGGAGATCTGTGTATGACCCACCACGGAATTGGCGCAGAGACCAACTGGAGCCCGGAAGTAAAGCAAACTATTTGAAAGATTTTTGTCCTCGAGTGTCTACCAATGACTACGTAAGTACTGTGTTGGTACTTTCTGTTGGGGAACATAGTATTTCAAAAAAATTCTACGATCACGAAAGATCTATCTTGGAGATGCATAGCAACGAGACAGGAGAGTGTGTCCATGTACTCTCGTAGACCAAAAGCGGAAGCGTTTAGTAACGCGGTTGATGTAGTCGAACGTCTTCACGATCCAAGTACCGAACGTACGGCACCTCCGTGTTCAGCACACGTTCAGCACGATGACGTCCCTCGAGCTCTTGTTCCAGTTGAGTACGAGGGAGAGTTCCGTCAGCACGTCGGCGTGGCGACGGTGATGATGAAGTTACCGGCGCAGGGCTTCGCCTAAGCACTACGACGATATGACCGATGTGTTAACTGTGGAGGGGGGCGCCGCACACGGCTAGGAAC